TGTTTTTCTTACTATTATTATTGTTTTTCAAATTAATTTTTGAATAAAGTTCTATCGCATTTACGCTCGTTCACTCGACGTTTTAAAATTTTAAATAAAACAATCATAATAGTAAGAAAACCACTGACATTTAAACGTCAAAAATATTTATGACAAAGATTGCAAAGCCTACTAATATTTTTTCATTAAAAATTCGTTCCAAATTTCGATTAACAACTCTACAGCTTAACAGTTAGTGTTTTCTTAATTATTTTTTTTCACGGAAATTATTAAGTTTTAGAAGAACATCAGAGAGACAAAAAAGTTTTAGAATAGTTTTGTCTATCTAACTGAAATTTTTCCAATGTATTTATCATTTTCATAAAAGAAATTTAGGCATAAATTGAACGATGGTGGTTACGTTTAGTAGTTTAGAAGGGTAGGTTGAAAGTACAAATAGGGCCAAAACGTGTCCTATTATGAGTTAAACATATTGCCCAAATTTCATTTTCCTAGCGTTTATGGTTTTTGAGAAAAAAAAATTAAACCAAAATTTTCCGCTATTTTTGGAAGGGTGTAGCTCCTTAAGGGAGCCGAAGTCGCCCATGGTTCATATATCAAAGTACCCTTAAAATTCCCTAAAGAATCACCCCTTGAAGTTTGTTGCAGTCATTCAGATACAGCCTGTATATTGTTCTCTTACGAAGAAAAAATAAAAAAGAAAAACCTGAACTCAGACCATCTTGTAACATCTACCACAAAAGATGTCCATGCGGAGTTAAATCTTTAAAGATTTAAAAAAAAAATTTTACGTTTATTTTAAGTAAATTATGTGACAATAATAATTTAATTTGTTCACTGCTTTATGTTTTCGATGTTAATTTTCTGTAAAATTCATTGACTTGTAAGTATTTTTTAAAAAACTTTTTATTGTTAATTCACATATTTAAATTTCACTTATTGATTAAAAATTGTTAATTCTTGTAGTTGTCTCTGATGATGGCTTTTTGCCGAAACTAGTTAGACAACAAAAATATAAATAAACCAGTAAAAGTACAATAAAATTCGAAATTTTTTCTATCACGTAAAAAGTAAAAAAGGTTACTTACCAAATAAAACACGTCAGCAAAAAACAACAGCAAAAAAAGATAAAGCTGAATGAGCAAGGATGTCTAGGACTGGGGAAAAAAACAATTTTGAATATTATATAAACATGCAAAACAAATATAGTTTTACTCACCAAAAAAAAACGTTCTCATCTCTATAAAATCCGCTACCTACGACCTTTGCTTCCATAGCCTTGTTATATCTTCGTTCTTCATCTAATTGCTCTCTAGCTGTTTTGGCGTTGTTTACAGTTTTTGCAATAGCGCTTTAACGTTTGTCAACAAATTCTTAGTACCTGATCTCGATGTTGCGTTGCGAGCGAACCGAAGTACATCTACAAAAGATATAGCTCCACCACGCTTCACAAACGTTCGAACTTTTTTTAAAGGTCGTCGACCCGTAAGATTTCTTTTTCTACCTACGCCCATACTGACCGCTCTTTTGCTTTCATGCGGCAACTGCGGACGATGCTCTTTATTTCATATTCGTTCTTTCGCTGCTTTATATAATGCTCTATCTGCCTCGTGTCTAAATTTTAAATCTGAACTGACCGTATATGCTATGTCGTGTTTCTTACACGCTTCGTCTAATGGATTCTTCAGAAGACACCTACATATTAAAAGGTTTACACGTTAAAATATTTAGTTTGTAACTTACGTCAAATTATTATTTAAAAGTTTCCAACACTTACAATTTAACTCCAATGAACCCAAAAACACCTAGATTGTACGCACTACCAAAGCTACATAAAGAAAACACACCCATGCGGCCGATCATCTCAAGCATTGATTCTAGCAGATATAGAATAGCAAAGTTTTTGGTTCAATTTTTTAAATGATATTTGATTGAATTTTGATTTTTATAAATCACTAATTGTACTTTTATACTGATTTATTATAAGTAAATCCGCTTTACATGTTTCGACTAATTAGTCATCTTCAGAAGCGCTACAAATTGACAACAAGAAAGGTAATAAAAGTTATTACAAATATAAAATGAAATAAACTTACTTGTGGTAAAATAAGAAACGGCGTTCAAAAAACTTCGCATTAAGTATAAATCGTAAATAAGGTCAGCACATCAAAAACGGTGATATTTAAAACAATTATTGTAAATATTAAATTTTAAAAACTATAGAACTAACATGTTAAAATGTAAATGTAAAGTTTAAGAATTAAAATTAAAAACGATGTTACTTGAAAGTTACAAAAATAAAATGGTTGAAAAATTGCAAGAGGTAACCACTTTTTATGAGTTCGCGAAATCAGAAATAAAAGAATTTCCAAGACTCTTACATTTTTTGAGGAAAACAACTTCTATGAGATTAACAAAAATCCTAAATACACAATAAGACAAAGAAAGTAGTAAAAGATGCAGAAACATTTTTAAAAGACAACAATATTAACCCATATTTCATTTTACCTATGAACCCAAAAATTCCATTACTTTACTCTCTTACCAAATTACATAAAAATAACTCTCCTATTAGACCTATCATATCCTCTATAGACTCTAGCACATACAGAATTTGCAAATTCTTAATCCAATTTTTCAAAAATGTCATAAATTTCAAGGCTGACTATGCCATCACCAATAGATATGAACTTATAGAAACTTTAAAATCTTTACATTTACCCAAAAACTTTACTTTACTATCTTTCGATGTCACAAACTTATATACCAACGTTCCAGTTAATGAAACACTAAATATAGCTAAACACATCATAGAAGAAAAAGTGGACTCAAAAAATGTTGAACATATTTTTAATTTACTTAAAATATGCACAGAACAAAATTTCTGTCAATTCAATGATAAATTTTACCAATACAATGAGGGTCTTCCAATGGGATCCCCCTTGAGCGGTCTACTCTCCGACATATTCCTTAATAGTATAGAAAACAAAATTTTACACAAAGATAACATTAACAATAATAATATAGTCCTGTGGCTCAGATATGTTGATGATATTTTGATAATTTGGGATGATGACGGATTCAATTTGATAGATGATTTCCATAAATACATTAATAACCTCCATAAAAATCATAAATTTACTATAGAAATTGAAAAACATAAACAACTAAACTTCTTAGATCTCACCTTAGTTAATACCGATTATTCTATTCAATACAAAATTTACAGAAAACCAACACAAACAGACACCATAATCCCATATTATTCTCATCACATTACAACACACAAATTAGCTGCCTTTAATGCTTATCTATATAGATGTTTCAACACCCCCCTTTCAAACGAAGATAGAAACACAGAAATTAATATCATTAAGAGTATAGGTATTAACAATGGTTTTCAATTATCCCAAATTGACAAAATAATTAATAAATTCATTTTTAAACAAAACCTTAACAACTCTACAGGTCTTCAACCTATAACTCAAAACTTTGATACATACAGATCAATTACTTATCCCGGCAAAATAGCTCACAATATCAGAAACATTTTCAATAAATATGGAATCAGCATATCTTACAAAAACAATCACACCTTACAAAAACTTTTGCATAATGCAAAAGATAAGCTAGACTTGTTGGAACTTAACGGTGTTTACAGTTTAGAATGTAATATTTGCGGAGCCACATATATTGGCGAAACAGGGAGAGCCCTAAAAACAAGAATTAGAGAACATTTAATAAAACCCAACTCTAATTTTGGTAAACACCTATCTCTGCACAACCACACTTTTGATATTAAAGAAAATGTAACACTGATACATAAACAAAATAAAGGCCACAAACTTGAGCTTTTAGAGAGCTATGAAATAGACAAATTCATAAAAACTAATACAAGACTTGAGTGCCTTAATGACCAGGTCCTCCCCTTAAAGCCACCCTTATACAAATGCCTCAATAACCCATTTCCCCAAAATACCGAGGATCAGTGTACTTAGCCGCACACACTGTTCGCAGATTTTGGGGTCCCTGCGGCAACACCCAACTCCTGTCTACACCCTATCCTTGTATTCCCTATCCTATATTTTTCTATTAATTTAAAAATCTAAATTTTATTATGTCCTTCCCTTACCTTACCATTCAACGCCTGGAAATATTAACTACAAAATACAAATTATATACTTTACATACATTTTTTAAAAAACAAATTCTAGTGTTGCTACCTCGCAGACATTTATACTCGCAGAAGGGATTTGTTTCATCTGAACACCCTCTATGTAATTTTGTTTTATTTTCAACACATGCGCATTTATACATTTTATTTCTGGTTTTCGCGAACTCATAAAAAGTGGTTACCTCTTGCAATTTCTCAACCATTTTATTTTATTTTTGTAACTTTTCATGTAANAAATTTAGTATCAACAATAGACAAAACGTAATAGAACTACTTCAAAAATCTGCTATACAGAAGGAATCATTAATCATTTCATTTGATGTTACAAACTTGTATACAAATATACCCATAAAAGAATCTTTAAATATTATAAAAGAATTTTTAAACAACAGAATGGATAATAAAAATGATATTGACAATATCCTTAAATTACTCAAAATCTGCACTGAACAAAACTTTTGTAAATTTGATAACAAGATATATGAATTTAATGACGGTCCCAATGGGATCACCACTCAGTGGACTTATCTCGGACGTATTTTTAAATAAATTGGAAGAAGATCTTATTATAAATCCAATAAATCCACAATATGAAAATATAATCACATGGTTACGTTAGAACGTCATCAACAGTTCTAGTTATAACAAGGCAGAATGATTTAAAAATGATTGATGATCTGTACAAATATATTAATAACCTTCATAAAAACATTACATTGGAAATGGAAAGAGACAACAAGCTAAACTTTTTGGACTTTACTCTGATTAGAGAGAAGGATAAGATCGCTTTCGATATTTACTGAAAACCGACACAGAACAGCAAAATTATTCCCGATTATACACAAAAATTAGCAGCATTAAGATCATATATACACCGAGCATTTAATTCAGAATTAGATCAAAGTAACTTTGAAAAAGAAATACCAATAATACAAATAGACAAGAAACATTGTAAAATGAATTTAAAACAAATTTCATCATTAGAAACAACAATAGATATTAACAAACCAAATAAATTCAAAACAATAACTTACCCAGGTACAATATCATACAAATTGAAAAAACTTTTTAAAAAATATAACATAAATTTAACATTTAAAACTACACACACTATTCAAAATACTCTTGTTAATAACAAAGATAAATTAGATATCTTACAAGAAAGTGGCGTATACCAAATAGAATGTAATAGTTGTCAAGCCACATATATCGGAGAGACTGGACGTTATTTCAAAACTAGAATCAAAGAACATCTAACAAAAGAAAATTCGGCATTCGGAAGACACATGAATTTTAATAATCACGATTTCGATATAGAGAAAAATACAAAAGTTTTACACAAGAGGAATAAAGGCTATTTATTAGAAATATTGGAAATGTACGAGATAACTAAATTTAAAAAACAGAATCCTGACAAAATAGCATTAAACGAACGAATAAATCACATTATTGCTCCATTATATAGTAATTTAAAAGATCCTTTTAAAAATCTTTAACACTACCCTTCCTTTTCTATATTCTACTTGAAAAATAAGTTTATATATTCTCGAAATAGCACTTGTGTTATTTTATTTTAAGAAATGAGATGTTAAATCATTGTGTTCGTATAAAGATGTGTGGTATTTGTTTTAACTTTTAAGTAATAATTTGACGTAAGTTACAAACTAAATAAGGAGTTTTCTATTTTAACGTGTAAAGCTTTTAATATGTAGGTGTCTTCTGAAGATGGTAATTTAATTACCGAAACCGGTCAAGACAAAAATAAATAAAAAAGATAAGTATCACTTTGTATATGATCATTTTATTCTAAATAATTAAATAAGTGATAATGGATGAAAACATAATTAAATATTCTTGATATATTATTTTCTAATAACTTATTTACGTTTCTTATCCTAGTCTTAAATCTAATTCCGTCCAACATCTTTTCTTCCCAGTCACTTATACTTGATTATCTGTAAGCAAACGTCCAAGTGTGCATTCGGTACACTCTATTTTTCGATTCGCAAAACGTCACTTTTTTTTCCATTTTGTTCACTTCACATTTTCATTAATGCGTGCAAATCTAAATCCAGTAATACCTTATCCATACCGTATACGAGCAGTTCTTTAGTTACGCACAAATGTTCACTTGGTGCACCGTTTGAAGCAACCAATATATTCGATTTTATATCACCTTGCATTGTTGATACCACATCGATCACGCTATCGTAATAATTTTTATATTCCATACACTTTAATACTTCTACCCTACTCGAAACTAAATCGCTAAGTTTCCACAATTCGTGTGACGAGTCGTAAGACAGGTAAAATATTTATGACCCCCTAACAGGACTGCTACATGCATTGTACTTTTGTAGCCCACTACGGGTTGGTTGCCCGCACTCTACGTCACACTATTTACCACGCCCTGTTAACTGTCATTGAGTACTATGCGTTTGCTGTGTGTTTTTTGAGATTTAGAGGTTACATGATAGACATTAATACGACTAAAAAAATAAAACTTCAAAAATAATATGAATACGTCTACGATATAACCTCTAAAAATACACAGCAAACGCATAGAGCTGGGCGTGGCAAATGGTATGACGTAGTTTGCGGGCAGGTTGTCACAACAATGAATGTAGCAGTCCTGTTAGATTCTACTTTCCTTGTGCATTGCCCTTTTCCCATTAATCTTATAACCGGATCAAAATGTAGACTGGCAGACATGCCAACCGATATCCATTTCGTTCGACTTTTATTTAAATAATATGTACTCTCGGAGTATAATGGCGCTTGATTCCTTTTTTGGAGATTATTTTTCACTGCTTTATTTAATACTACTTTACTTGTGAAAGGTAACTTTCCACAATTTTCTACATAATGTTGTTGATTGCTAGGAAATACGTACTCCGCTAAGTCGGAAGCCAACAAATTGATTCCATCGAATACCACATCCTTTTTTCTTTGATTATCACTTCCTAGCGACACATTTGTTGCTGTTGTCTCATTACAATTACCCTCCATTTTGATGTTTCTGGCAGGGTTTTTTATTTTTACCCTTTTCAAATGAATTTACAGCAGCTCTCTTAGTTGGACATTTGGGGTTCCGTCTGGTTGCCACTAAACATCAATATTATAGTTTACTTTAGTACATTATCTACTTGTATTACATTTGAATTACTTACTCGTTACGTTAATAGTCCTCTGTACTAAATGCACCAAAAATCTACACAATATTTTTAATATGTACTAAATACACAAAAACCTTACTCTGAAGCACAACACTCTGCAGTACAACTTCGACCAACGTTTGTATTTATAGCAATACATAAGGTTGGTGGTGGGGGGAGTGATATATCACATTATTACCGAATATATCTATTATACATGTTCTAACACGACATTATATCGTGAGACGTCAGACAGAACGCATGACAAATTTATTAAGAAGCTCCTAAAAAATATCTCGCAGGTAGATCATGACTCACCTAGTACTTACAAGTTAGTTGACCTCCTCCTCGAACCTATCCCCCCAAAAAATTTGTCGATTCACGAACCTCCTCGCATATTCTTAAATACCCGTATACCTTTACATAATAAATTAAAAAAATATCTCGAAGGTAAGTCATGACTCACTTATTTGTATACCTACATGTCTCAAAACCGTATACCTTTGTGTATAATAAATTAAGGCCCACTTTTACCATCCTCCTGATAAACTATCTAGAGCAGTGGTTCTCAAACTATGGTATGCGTACCACTGATGGTACGCGAGAAGTTCTCAAGTGGTACGCAAAACAGTTTATATTTGCATTATCATTATTGTTTTTTTTTGTTCAGTGGTACTACCTTATTTTTAAAATAGCCTTAGTGGTACGCAAGGATATAAGTTTGAGAACCGCTGATCTAGAGGATAGTTGCCATGGTTACGGCGGTTTTAAGCGCTCTCATTGGCTAAGAACTGAATTTATCTATCGGATAAATTTATCAAGAGGTGGTTGGCCCACTACTATCACTCATAGTTAAAGTCTCTGATAGCGTTATCTATCGGATAGCTTAAAAATTGGTTACTACCACTGTATTTATCTTATAGATATCGCTATCCAAGGGATAACTTTTGAAATATCTGTAACCCGTGGATTGGGTGTCGGATAAGTTGGTATCTAAGGGATAAATGCGGATACCTAACCTCAAATAGAATTTATGCTGACGTATAAAATTCGAGCGTTTTACTATTTTAGTTAAAATAAGAAAAGTAATATAAACTTAAATAAAAAACTATTAATAATTAACATTAGATAAAATCATCATGGATAATTTCTTCAACATTGGAGATGAAGAACAAATTTTTGAAGAAATTAATGAATTATTTCCTATAAGAAGCGAAAGGATAATAAGGTTTAGACTTGACCATTTAAATATTCATTCAGATGTTGAATTTATGGCGAGATTTCGTCTCGAAAAAAGTTTTCATCACCTTTTGAATCAAATAGAAGATGTAATAAAACCTCCATCCATGACGTAAGTAATTTGTTAATTGTTATTATTTAATATAAAATTCATCAATATTTTAGTAATAATGCTGTACCTCCTTCAAACCGTTTGTTGCTGACTCTTTGGTTTTATGCAACAGGTAACATGTTGCTATCCATAGCAGATTTTGCAGGAGTGAGTGTACAATTGGCATCTTCAGTCGTCAGTTCATCATGTTAGTTGTGCCATTGCAAACTTAAGACCGCAATATTGTAGAATGCCGGAAGGTATGATACTGCCCGGTTTCCGTTTGTTATTGGTGCGATTGACTGTACCCATATAAGAATTCAATCCCCTGATATGTAATACAAACATATAGTATTAATTTTGTTTAAATATAGTCATCACTATTAATATTTTAGGTGGAGTCACAGCGGTAAATTATCGCAATAGAAAGGGTTACTTTTTTATCAATGTTCAGACAGTATTTGATGATAAGATGCGAATCATTGACATCGTAGCTAGGTGATTAAACCCGGATCAACACATGATCAAACAATATTTAATAATAGTACATTAAAATATCGTTTAGAAAACGGTGATTTTGGAAATGGATTACTATTGGGAGATTATGATTTGTACATTTTTCAGTTGCTGTAGGAATTATTTATTGGTACCACTCGAACAACCAAGGCGCGACGCAGAAAGGCTGTATAATGAAGCTCAAATAAGAACACGTAACGTGGTTGAACGACAATATGGGACATGGAAAAGGCGATTCCAAGCTTTAAGACTCGAGTTAAGAATATCACTTGAGAGGTATAGAATTTATTTTATCTCTACAGTATGTAATTATAACGTGATTTTTATAATTTATAGGATACAGCCTCTTATTGTGGCAACGGCAGTCATACACAACTTGTGTATTGATATGAAAGACAACCTACCTCCAAGTGAGGAGGATATTATAATTGACGAAGGGGACAATCAACTCCCACTAGAAGGAAATATTGAATTTTCACGGAGGAATGAAGTGATAAATTATTTTTCTAATGTGGTATGATATAAACTATTTCAAATGAAAATTCAACAAGATGTTCGTATTCTTCTTTTGTGAAATTGGTGGTTCGTCGCCTTTTGTCAGTCTTCATTTTCAAATTTAAATTTTAAGGTTAGAACAGGTTAAACTATCGTCAAAATACCTAATAGTAGGTCTTTTGACCACATAGAGCTGTCAATTTAACATAATAGACAAAAAAATCCCTAGATTTCTTGGTTATCTCAAGGATTTCTTAACTATGAGATAAATGGAGGTGGTAGTACGCGCGACCCTGTTATCTACGAGATAAATTGTATCTTATAGATAGCTTAACTAATAGATAGCATTGGTTTGGTAGTAACGGGCCTAAGAGGTATATTGAAGACATTAACAGTTCATTGAGAAGCGTCAAAGGATAAACATAGTAATTGTTTTCATGTAGGTAAACAGGTTACATATAAAGATAAAATAAATAAAGATAAATTTTTAATAATTTCGTCAAAATAACATGACCTTCTCAAGTTAATTGACCTCCCAAAAGAATCGACGATTCAAGAACCTCCTTTCCTCATCGAACCTGCTCTGATTCTCAAAAAATTTGCCGATTCAAGAACCTCCTCCTAGAACATAGGTTCGAGGAGGAGGTTCGTGATTCGGCGAATCTATACTACTATCGATGTCAGAAAATTATGCCTTCTATAACACAAATCTGGAATTTACGAAGTAATCTTTTGCGTGGAATTCAGAATTAACATCGATTAAAATTTTAATATAATCTATTTGTTGAAAATATTAAAAGATATGTTTACCGTTTTTACCTGGACGAAATTTTTACCTAATTTGTAGTAAATTAAACAATATTAATAACAAAAAGTTCTTTTATCTTTTATTTTAAATAACATGTTCGAAATGATGTTCTTCTTGATTAATACACATTTCTAACCGGTGTCTAAACGTTCTGGATACGCGGGAAGGCAGGCTGAACCGCCCGGAGCACTTTGATCTCAGCAGATCCCTTGTACTTACTTCCCTCATTTGGTCAGCATTACGGTCCTTCCAGCCATATTACCTTGGAGGCAAAGGCTAGAATTTGTCCTGGTTGTACTGCCCTGATTCCACTCATGCTAATCTGGATATCTCCAAAAATGGATAACCTTAATATTTGGAGGGCCACGCAGTCGCATAAAATGTGTTCCGCTGATTCCTCCTCCTCACCGCATCCTCTGCAGATATCGGTGTCACTTATTCCCATGTTCAGTAAGTGTTACTTTAGATGCCAGTGTCCAGTGATTAGCCCTATGACCAAACGTAGGTTCTTCCTGGACAGCCTCATAAATAAATCTGTTCGTTTAGGATCAGGGTACATCAGACCCTCCTTGGCTTGGCGACATCCTGGTGTCCTGTCCCAGTAGTTTAGAACATTCTTACGTGTTTCCTCTTTTTGAAGCTCTATTAAAGACCTTACTGTTGGGGCAATGAATGGTTCCGGAGGTTCGCGTGCAGCTTTCCTTGCCAGTTTGTCCACCATGTCATGAAGCTTATTTCCCGAATGACCCTTTGTCCAGCAGATCGTAATCTCATTGCTAGCGGCTGCCTCATAAAGATTGTTATGGCAGTCCTCAAGCAACGAGGATGAACAGCGATACCGCCCGAGCGAGAGGAGGGCTTGTCTGCAATCAGGATATATTATAATTTTTTTGTTACTATTTTCTTGGAAATTTCCTCAGCCGCCAGAGAGCTGAGGACGCGGTGGGCCAATTCCCAGCGGTTTAGAAATTTTTATTGTCGGTTCGACGGAATAAACTGAAGCACCAGCGCCAGTTTCCCTACGAGATCCGTCCACCCATAATTAGAGGACAGTTTCGTCAGGCCTGGATTGTTCTCCTAACTTTATTTCATACGGTCGTTCGAAGATAAAACGCGTTGGAATCGTATCTACCCTACCATTCAGGAGTGTGTGTCTAAATGTATTTTGGACATTATCTCCTAGGTGCCGTTGATTAATTTCTTCAAAGGCGGCAATAATACGTTGCTGCATATCGTCTCGCGTTGTTGATACTGTTTGGTAAACAATTTCTTTCACCGTGCCCCACACGAAGAAATTCATCGGTGTTAAATCCGCAGAAATTTTTGGTGGACAGTATTTGTCGCATTTCTGGAGTAATGGACTGGAGCCCCATCCTGCTGCATTCACAAATCATTACCCACAATGTTTATTAACGGAATGTCGTCTAAGTAATTGTCTAATGCATTTTGGATAAAGTTAGCGTACATTTCTCCTGACAAATTTCCTTAAAAAAAAATGAAGCCCTATTAAATGGTTATTTATAATGCCTCCCCACACGTTTAGTGCCCAATGATTTTGATTTTCTTGTTGTCGCATCCAATGTGGATTGGTTGGCGCCCAATAGTGCAAGTTATGCTTATTGACATTTGTTTTTTTCTGTGGATCGTTTTCCACATGGTTTAGTACCAGGGCGTGATTAATTTCGTATGAGTACGCCTGTCTACTACAGTCCTCTTCTTAGGTTTAAGGGAGCCAGTTTAAGACCTCTAAGACCATCCACAAGCCTTTGAAATGTTCTTGGATTATCCTCATCCGGCTCAAAATTAAGCTGGACGGTCGCTTTATTACCCAATCGGCAAGTCTCGGTTTACGGTACCATAAATTTAACTGTCATTTCATATTTCTTAATTTTTGTCGTAAATAATGAATAAATCGCAATTTATTTGGTGTGAATTTACTTTACTATGACTCCCACATCATATGATAGAGTCATAGTAAGAATCGTTAAAAAATAAAACCATAAAATTCGTCATTTTTAACATTTTTGCATATTATTCGCAAACCGTGCAATAAAAAATTTATATGAATTGAACAGCACCTGGCCAAGTGGGGTGGACTAATACATATCGAATTTGGAGTGTCTATTTAAAAATTTATACATCAAAAAAGCCGATACCACAACCGATGGGACACTCGGTACAAGACAACTAGCTTTTTTTTGCTATCTCCTTACCTTTCATATCCTTATGATCATTTTCAAATGACGTAATGAGTTGGACCCCACCGTATGGATCAGTACTCTCAGAAGCGGGCAACACGCCATCCTAGTCAAACAATTTGTATTGTATTTAACTTTTATGGAATCTCTTTTGCTTGTGTTTTATAGATCTTGTGCCAGATCACCTCTTATTGTGATCAAGTGGCTCATCACGTTGAAGTGACCAGCAATAGTCGGCTAGCAAAGATGTGAATTCCAATTTCTTTTAACATATATATAAACCATGGGTATTTTATAAAACGCGAATGTTGTCTAAGAAGTATGCCAGTAATTTTCAAATATCCACATATATTCCATTTGTGTTGTTTATATTTAATACCTTCAGGAATAGTTTTAACATTGTCGTTTGATTCTTCTATGTGTACGGAAAGAGCAATAAGCAAGGAAGCGTATTTATTGGAGCTATGCAGCAAAACTGCTTTCAAACTTCTCTGAAAAGAATCAATAAATAGCCTCTAATTGGCAGGGTCATATAACAGTCCACATTTTTCCACGAGGGCATTGGCATCATTACAATAAACATAGCTACTACCTTCAGAGAAAAACTCAATAAATGACTTTTTTCGATGTCTATACCTAGAGAAGGTAGTTCCAGGAGCAAGGAGATTTCTCTCTTTTAGTCGTGACCCTAGGAGTTCAGATTTATCTTTAGGTAAACCTAAATCCCTCGCCAAATCATTTAGTGCATCTTGATCATACAGAACCGGCAGAAAATTAGAAGCTTCATAATCAAGTGAATCTATATCTTCACATTATCGAAGATCACCAATGTTACAGCTGATATCGTCATCAGTTTTCTTCTCGAAATTTGGTGGAGTTGCAGGAATATCGTCAGATTCAAAAGGAGGGTTTCGTAACACTTGCTACATTTGGATACTTAATATTATGAGAATTTTCGGCTGATACTCATACTCATACCGCGTTTAGTGTTCAGCTTCAAGGGTCATAACATAACTTATGCAGGAATAAATAGTACAGCACCGTTCAATCGCACATTATCAAGGGCGAGGATAGTGTGAATAGAATATTAATGATGTTTCAAAATCTTGAAACCATCCAATCTTGACCATTACGTCAAAATCTTGACGTAATGGTCCAATTCTGAGCTCGGATTATGTTCTACGCAGAAAATTACTTCCGAAATGACTGACTCACGGTTGATCGACAACAAAACCTTGCAGATCTGTGTAATTGACAGAAACTAAAGTAGTAATTGATTTATGTTAATACTAGTGAGACTACATGAGAATAGAGACTTATATTACTATATGGTAAAATTTATAAAGAAAACAAAATAATAAAAACAACAAAAATTTATTAACAAATATATGCATTAATACACATTTTTATGTACTTGTTTTTTTTAGCTTTGCAGCCCAGCTTTGAAGAGTTGAAATACCTGCAAGTAATAAATTTAAAATGTACAACTTGATGAAATTAACTTTAAGTTAGTGAATGTATCAAAAAGAATCTTATTTACCAGGTAGGGGATAATGCAGTTCGTCTCTCAAATAATTGTAGCAGTTTTTGCTAAAGTATCTAATTGTGTAAGCTCTTGTAATGTCTTCTTCTTGCCAGTGAACAATCTTTTTATTTTTTAATATTACTTCTAGTTGTTTAGGGGTAAAAATGTTTTTAAATTGATCTTGTACCTTCTTCTCAACATGCTTGCTTTTCAATAAAGAAATAGATTGTTTTTGTTGACGATTTTCCGTCTGCAGGGAATTTATTTTCTTCCTATATTTGTTAATTGTCAACTGTTGCTGCATAATTGTTTTTTTCAGCCTAAGATTTTCTGCATTCAACAATATAATTCGCTCGTCTTTGTCTTCTACATTGGTAACAACTGTATTGGAGGACACATTTACTTCTTCATGTAAATTCAGTAGTATTAATTTAAGCTGTGGCACGCCTGTTGTTCTTGCAGAATCATCATTTTCTGTTCTTTCAGTCTCAACCGCACATTCTTCTAAATTATATTTGCCTAAATTTAAAGAAGGTAAGGCTCCTTTCTTTAATATTAGTTTTGGTGGCAAATTTTGTAATTCAGATTGTAAGTCTCTTTTAAAATCTTCTGAACGGAAATGCAACGAACATATGCGCGGTCTTTTTGCTGTCATGGTACCCTTTCTATCGCATCTCTTAATCCATATATTTTTTAAATTTGTCTCTTTTGGAAAGGAAAAGAAACTTATTTTTTTTTTCATGTCCTGTGCAAGTACATGAGTCATCTTGCAACTTGAAACTGAGCAGCACATGGGCATCTAAGTAAGTACATTAAGACATTAAATTACGCATTTTTTAAACTTTTTACAAGGTCAATCAATTTAATTTATTATTGCAAAGTCTAGCCTTATTGTTGTTTAAGTATTTTACTTAAAACGTTCAATAAAGATGAATTTAAGATTTATAAAAAAAATAAATAGAACAATATATTATCCTTGTTTATAGATATACCTAGTTATACAAAGAATTTAGTTCGTGGTCGTGGTCACTACTACCCGAGCCAAATAACTCAAGGCCCCATACTTTAGAGATCTACATCTTCGTAACCGCTGGATGAAAAAAATTGCGGTAAAGTTTGTTGTAATCACTGAACATTTCTACATGTGTATTTGAAAATTTTCGGTTTCGCGGTTTGTGAGGGGCATATTTTATTTGCTCGATGTTCCATACAGTTTCGCAGAAAATCGGGGCTTACACCGATTTCGATTTAACTACTTTTCGTAAGAATGGTGTGATAAAACTGTCAGGTATTTTGAAAATACTTTAAACAAAACCGTAAATTAGTCGCACAATAAAATGTTTAGTGTAAAATAAGGCATAATACACCATTTAGGGGTGGTTGGGGTTAACCACCCCCTTAAAAATTACTTCTATCTATTAATGTGTATTTTATATTTGAAGTAAAAATTTTTGAAAATGGTTATAAAGGTTACAAATTAGGGGTAGTTTTTTGTTTATATCTCGAAAATGAATACTGCCATCGTAATTTGTTAAATGTAGTATTGTTTTTTTTTTAAATCTATCTATATCGATGTTCCACGAGGTGACCTACCCTCATTAGAAAATATACAGCATATTTTAATGGAAACGATGGAAGACTACAATATGCAAATTGAAGTCGAAAGTGTATCTCATCTAATGACATCAATGATGGTCAGCAAATTATTGAAGACCAGGATACAAGTGAAAGCATTGTAGAAAATACTGATGCTCATTGTCCATTCAAGGATGACATCGACTACGAGTACAAATTAGAGGCGGTAAATTACTGGACAAGTGGGAAGAAAGGTTATTTGAAACTAGAAACCGTAAAAAACAAATACCGAAAAGTAACGTCAAAGACACAATTACACAGATGGGCTAAATAACTAAATATATTGCAGAAAGAGCAGAAAAATTAGTAGAAATTACCGAATTTGTAATTAATCAAGCGAGAGCCGCCGTAGATAATAAATTGCCACTACATGATATTGATATACGCAGGTGGGCTACACCAGCTAGAAATGAAAAGAATATATCTCCTCAACTGTTCAAAGCATCTCATAGCTGGGTGCAACGTTTTAAGAAAGCGAACCGGTTAGTAAAAATAACAACATTTCTATCCCGAAAACAAATTGGAAATGTTGATCGAGCAAAAGATTTCGTTAAAGAGGCAAAGCTGAAAACACCTATAATTCGGATCAGAGTGGTTTTAACTTGGAATTCCATTCGGGAAGAACATTAAGCGATTTAGGAGTTAAAACCGTAGAAAGTATGGTACAATTCAACCCGTAATATCTGCTGATGGGAAACTTCTTTCTCCACTTTTTATTGTTTTAATAGAAACCTCTGGCAGCTTTGGACCGAGGTAGCAACTACAATGTTTAAGGCAGACAATATATACGTTTTGGCATCAAAATTTGGAAAGTTAACTTGAGAACACATGAAAAATTAACTACAAAATGTATATTTTCCAAATACTGGTTCTAAATCATTATTATTATTAGACTCTTGGAGTGGCTATTGTCCTGATGTTATTAGTGAAATAACTCCATCAGATACTAATTTTAAACATTTATCTATACCTGCAGGGACAACAGGTCAAATACAGCCCTTAGATGTATTTGGTTTCAGAATATAGAAAAATTTTATTAGAAGATTCTCTAATCAGATTATTCTTTACCAGTATGATGTCAATTTACATCAGAGGGATATCATATTAAAATTGCAATCCCTAACGCATAACTAGTTGTCTTCCCCTCGGTTTATAAATGTCTTTAAATACGCATTGTTTGCAAGTGGCTGAGAGACCAGACCATTTTGAAAATCCCGTGGAAGTTTGCTTCTTGAGTGAGAAGCCAACGTGTGATATCTGTGGGGATATAACGGTCATAACATGTGCATGGTGTAAAAGATCCTTATGTTTAAAACATTTTTTCCACGATTTTCATTTTTGCCAACACTATGTAGAATAAAAATAAATTTAACATTGAACATAAAAAACGTCAACTAGTAATATAAAATAAACTTCTTTGGTATAATCAACCATTTTTTTTTGTCACTTACTTTTTAACTCATAAATAAATAAAATATTTATCTAGTAGTTTTATATTTATTATTTAAAGAAAATGAGGGTAGTTCACCTCGTGGAACATCGAGATAGATTTAAAAAAAAAACAATACTACATTTAATAAATTACGATGGCAGATTTCATTTTCGAGATATAAACAAAAAACTAGCACTAATTTGTAACCTTTATAACCATTTTCACAAATTTTTACTTCAAATATAAAACGAACAGTGGCAAATTTCGCCGTAATCGACATTTAACACCCGGGATAGTATTATTTTTTAAATGGGTGGTTAACCCCAGCCACCCCTAAATGGTGTATTCAGGGGCTTTCACCACACGTATAAAAAAATGTCCGAACCTTATTTTGGCCCATTCTATGACTCTACCAAATTTCATGGAAATCGGTGAGACGCAGTCGTGACACTTCCCTTGTAGTATGGAAATTCGATATTTGTATTGGAAAATCCCAGGATTAACTTATGGGACAGAGCCTATGTCCTAGGGTTGTGTACAAGTTTACTGAGGGTCTTGAACAAAAAAACCATACAATATTTTTTAATAATTTTTTTAACAATGTGGAACTAAGTGAATTTGTCTCGAAAGTATTTACCTAATTTTAAAATGGACAATCAGCTCCAAAGAGGTGAATTCTGGTACACAAACGATACAAAACAATTTGCAGTAAAATGTACGTACACTTTTTATCAAATTACCACAATCCTGAAGATTGCACGAAAGGTAGTAGAAGAGGAAAAAATGGAAATATATTGTAGATTATAACGCCAACATGAACAGTGTCGATAAATTCGACAGATTGTCAAAGAAACAAATGGTGGCATCGTATATTTTTCTAATTCGTATATGCTATATAAAATAATGAATCTGCCTGATAGATTGTAGCCCCAGTTTTAGTATCTAATTCCAAAAGTACTAAGAAATCAGGATAAAAAATACAAATAAAAAAAATCAAAGCCGTTTGTAGCACAGAGTGTGCGATTAAATTCTGTTGCGCATCACCCTAAGCGAGGAACAAGAAGAAGGTGCGGTGTATGTAAGACGGCTAAACCCGAATGATTCTAGGTCTAGTGTTAGTTCTTGTTTTGTATCATTAGAACTAACACTATACTTAGACCTAGAAACATTCGGGTTTAGCACTGCGTCTCTTAAGTCCGCTAAACCCGAATGATTCTAATTCTAGGTCTAATGTTAGTTCTAGTTTTATATCACCAGAACTATCACTAGACCTAGAAACATTCGAATTTAGCCTCTTCTTTTCTATCTCAAGACGGCTAAACCCGTATGTTGCTGGTTCTAGATGTGGTATTATATTTACTGATATAAAACTAGAACTAACACTAGACCTAGAATCATTCGGCTTTAGCCGTCTTATGAGACGCACGGCTAAACCAGAATGTTTCTAGTTCTAGGTCTAGTGTTAGTTCTAGTTTTAATTGATATTCAGCGCAAAATTGTTGTTAATTTTCATTGAACTAAAACTAAGCCAAGAACTAGATAGATTCGGGTTTAGTCGTTAGTCTTTTAAGATGACTACACTTGAATGTTGTAGCACCAAGGCAAAGCCACTGCGCACTTAAAGAATATATTTTTATTTTTACATCCAAACCACTTGTCGACAGTGCAAGAATTAAATATTGCTGATCATCTGTTGCGAGTACAGTTTTGCCATACTATGATGGGAAAATGTGCTATTGATGCTGCGTTTATAGAAAAAATACTTTTTACTGATGACCATTAATTTGAGAAATGCTCAATATTGGACTGAACAAAATCCAGATTTTGCGCTGCGTTGGATAATAACCTGACATATTGATTTTCTGATGATTTGTTTTCATGGGCTGTAAGGTTGTATCTTTTTTTCGAAAACTACTCGAAAACGATATGTCTAATTGAAACCTCTAAGAATAATTTTACAAAGAAATTGGCTATTAGAATCAGTTGAAAAATTTAAGGGTTTACGACATAATACAAAAGTTTGAAAGAAATAACCATTGTGAACACCCTGTATAGCATAGTTTTCGTGGTTGCATATTTTCAAAAGTGATCTTAAACGATTTCTCATAATAATATTGCACTGTTTGCCGAATTTTATCTTTCTAAAACAAATGAAGAAAATGTTTAAAAATTTGTTAACTTTAAAGACCTATCATCTTAGCCATTTATGGGTTTAGAACAAACATTTTTACAGGAATCGTCTTCAGTTTTACTCTAGAATTTGTGATTAAAATTATGCCACAACTTACAGAAACATCCTGTATTCATTTCAAACTGAAGATCATTATTCTTCGCTTGATGAATTTTTATTTTCGTCTTCTTTTTCATATACTTTGTATTTCCCCTGGAAGTAACAGTTCAATGTATTCTTTGGAAAAAGCTTTAGCGTTCTTTATAGGTTTCGGTCTAATGCTTGATAAGAGTGGATCTAAAGTCAGCAATAACCTGTTAATAATATCCTTATTACACGGAAGTCCTTATTGCGTGCTGTAGCTTCTTCCGACAACTGCCCAATTGGCAAAAGTGCATTTTTAATAATTTCGGGACCATGCATTAGAACCTTACGTAATGTAGGTATCATGGGATACCATGGGTACTTCTCTACATAAACTTCTGCCGTGTCCAAAGTATACTTTTTAAAAGTTTTCTATGTCATTTTGTGCCCACTTGAAATAATTTCTAAAATAACTTGTAGGCGGTAGATTAAAGCATAATCTAGTTCAGTAATTGCAGCTGATTGCTTCGGATTACTGAAAAATCGCCTGCTATTTCAGTTCCATATGCGGCTTTAGGTATATCAATTAAGATACCCATTTCCTTTTTAAACTCTTTTTGAATTTTTTTCTTTTCTCTTTTATAAGAGCTTTCTCTGCTACTTTTTAACAGGCAACTTGTATGAAATATGTAAAAGACTTTCCAGAAATCTTATTCTAGCGTGTACAATAGAAAGTCTAAATTTGTATGAGTTTCCTATTATCATCGGCTTCTCGATCTAGATTATTGAACTGCTTTGAAGTCACAGCGCAGGTGTAGCACTTTAATGATGATTTAGTTCCAGCATTACAACTGTTCCATCAATCATTGTAAACATCATACAATGTTTTACAATAACACCTGAAACATGGGTTTCAATTCTTTGATGTTATTTTCAGCATAATCAATTACCTCGTTTATAATATCTATCAGTGGTCTTTTTAATAAATCGTATTCTTATTGGCCTGCAGTCCAAACTAATTTATAATGCATTTGATTTTCCAGGAGTATAATCTATCTGTATATCATAACTTTGCAGTTTAAGTGTCCATCTGGCGAGACGGCCACTCGGCGATTTTATTGACATCAACCATTTAAGTGGTTGGTGGTCGCTGATAACATAAATTTGAAAGAAAACATGACTTCTACAAGAAAGAATGTATGGAAGTAATCACCCCTCAAGTTGAAGATACGATTGATGTGAGCTTGAATGTTGATGAATGTTCTACTCTCGATTCTGATCAAAAATCGCAATTACTACATGAAAATGTCGAAATGTTCTCGCCAAGTTCAGAACCAACTCCGTATGCAAAGCATTGCATAAGGCTTGCCAACAATATTCCCATAGCCGTACCTCCGTACCGATTGGCAGAACCAAAGAGAAAATTCTTAGAAAAGGCAATCCAGCAGATGATTGAGGATGACATCATTGAAGAGTCGGATTCCGCCTATGCTTCACCAGTTGTATTGGTGCCAAAGGCAAACAAATCTGCTCAATATCGTGTATGTGTCGACTACCGGAAGTTGAATGCTATTACCATACCAGATCGGTATCCCCTCCCACGATTGGACGACCTTTTACATGAAGCAAAACAAACTGCCTTTATGAGTACGCTAGATCTACGATCCGGATATTGGCAAGTAGCTGTTCGACTTGAAGATCGGGACAAAATTGGTTTTCTTACCCCATTAGGAAATTATCGTTTTAAACGCATGCCTTTTGGATTAAGAAATGCACCTTCAACCTTTCAAAGGATGATGGACCGTTTCAAGACAACATTACCGGATGTTACAATCCTTGTCTACATTGGTGATATTGTAATTCTATCACCCACCTTTGAAAAACATCTAAACGACTTGAGAAGGGTATTTGAAAAGCTGAAGATGTTCAAGTTCCGCATAAATGAGAAAAATGTACTTTCATGGCTCAATACTTAGGACACATTATTACGCCTGAAGGTATAAAACCAAACATGGACAAGATTGCCGCTATTATTAAAATACCAAAACGGAAAAATTTTCGTGACTGCTAACATTCCTTCAAACAGTTTCGTGGTTTCGTAAGTTTATCCCTGGTTGTGCCGGAATCATGAAACCTCTCACTGAGCTTACCAGGAAGAAAGCTGAGTGGAAATGGGAATCTGCACAAGATTGCGCTTTCGAGAAATTGAAAACCTTTTTGTCAACTGCACCCATTCTACAACAAGCTGACCCTTCCCAACCATACATCTTATGTTGCGATGCGAGTGCTTATGCAATTGGATCAGCTTTACTCCAGGGGGAGCCTCCAAACGATCGTCCAATAGAGTATGCAATGAGTTTTGATAGATGCTGAAAGGAATTACAGTACTACAGAGAGAAAAGCATTGGCTGTAGTATGGGCTACTGAAAAGTTTCGTGGTTATATAGAATCATCTCAAACTTATGTTATCAGCGACCACCAACCACTTAAATGGTTGATGTCAATAAAATCGCCGAGTGGCCGTCTTGCCAGATGGACACTTAAACTGCAAAGTTATGATATACAGATAGATTATACTCCTGGAAAATCAAATGCATTAGCAGATACGCTCTCCAGACTGCCTTACTCTCATTAACCAAATGTTGAAGCTTACTTGACGACCATCATTGATTTGCCTACAACTAATTACAATGAACTTCGGCACAAGCAATTAGAAGATCCGATCCTTACAACCATCATCCATAACTTAGAAAATACAGAAGATCCTGTTGCGACTAAACAAGCTACCGAAAGAGGATTCTTGCTGTTGAATGGAGTGTTGTACCGTTATTCACCGGACTGAGATGAAGAAGACGCTGTACAAGTAGTACCAACTGCAGATGTTAAAAAAATCTTGTTCGAATATCATGACGCGCCCGAAGCTGGACATTATGGTTTCGAAAAGACTTATCAAAAGATAAAAAAACGCTACTACTGGACGAACATAAACGTGACATTGAAACTCATGTCAAGACCTGTATTGAGTGTCAGAGATTTAAGCCGAGAAAAATATTAAAAATAATAATAAGCATCGTGTGAAACGTGTATGCTCTTAATAATATTGTAATATGTTTATGTCTTATTAAATAAACATATTACTTTAAACTCTGTTACATTATTATTTTATTATTTACCATTGATGTCTGAAATATGTTTGCATCACTGTTAAAGTCGCTATCAAATTTCTGTCTAAATTGAGACTGCTGAGATCTATCACATCCTCATTTAGCTAACAACTGCATTGTTGCCCGCTCATTTTCTGTTAAAGTTTGCTCTATTTCTGCCAAATGTGATAATATTCTTTCGAAATTGTAGTCTAGTAACTTTTGTAAATTAATTTCTGCACAATTATCACTAATAAAATACGAATCTAATTTCGGGTAACTTAACTTTTTGGCCTGTTGTAATTTGCTATAGCATGGATATTATTTCGTTTTTATTAGCTCATAATGCTTTCTCGAAAGTCCTGGCTCAACAAATCTAGATAGAGCTTCTAAGGGCGTGAATTTTTCTAGAATAGGTTCTTGATCTTTATCGTAAACTTTCTTGCACTCTGTTGCCTGTTTCGTCAGAAAATTTTCCACATATTCAAGTTTTTCCTTAATGGTGTGACCCTCGTAACCTGTTATAAATGTTCATTCGAGTAACCGTTTTAAATTCCGATGGTCCTGAGAGAAAAATGCGATTCTGTTTACAATATGGAAGGAAAGAGATTTTGTAATACAGTTGTTGAAATATTTGTAAAAGGTGAAGTCGCAAATAGTCGCAGGTAAAGTACTTTCTACGCAAAACAACACACTCTAAGCTAATAAATACTGTAAAATCGACACTTGGAAGTGTAACTTTTCCTCTTCTAAATATGAAAAATATAGGAAAATAAAATAAATTATGCATTACTTTCAAAATGTATTATTTACTCTAATCGCATGAATACATATAAAAATATATGATATATTAATAGCACATACCTGGCTCATTTACTTCCATAATTCAGAACTTTTTAAAGTAATCCAGAAACCGAATAATGATTGATAAAATTCAGGAAACTGTTCACAGCATTGTAACTAAGGACGTCTAGCACTATTTATAGTCAACTTTGAACTGACCTACAAGACAGGGTGTCATGGGTAGTTTTAATGGGTTGAAAGTAATTTAGGGTCGGATCAATTTTTTAAAATGGACTTTTGTCCAGGTTGAATAGACTAACGATCTAGCAACGCTGCTCGCTTCGCTTCTCTCTGGATAGAGCATTAACGCGTTAAAAACTGTCCTATTGATATACACTAAATGTTTGTAAACAGTTTAGGCGTTTTGATTTACTTTTGTATACAATATTTTTTAATTAAAAATGGATTAGAAAGCGTTAAATTGGGACAAACAAACGTGGACAAACTCCAAAGAGAAGTGAATCGAGCAACGTAGCTAGATCGTTGGAGTAACCCAACTCGACCGGTTGAATAACTGTATATCTATAAACAAGAATATTATATTAGTAAGTTAAAAAAATTAAAAAGATCATTTTTTATAAAAACACCTGTATCTTATGAACCAACGAGATTACTATAACGCATTTTGGGTAAAATCACCTTGCCTTTGTAATTATAAATAATAATATTACCTTGAAATTCGTTATTAAATCTCACAATAACAAAAAGAATAGCAAAGAAACGCAATGTTTTAATATTGAAAATTACAATAACACATTCAAACACACTTCAACTCTCACTAAACAAAAAGCACTGATATCCACATGGCCTTGTAGTTGCGCGCGCAATCCGCCATTTACGTCCAGAAATACGCCTGCTCTTGCCCCTCATCGACAAACTAAAATCAAAGTATTGCAGCATAGCAACGTAGACAACCTATTATACGCTCTTATACAGTATGTCCGTAAAGTAGCGGATATAGACAATAAAATCATTATAAACGGTTTATGGAAAAATCCCTGCACATTTTTTGCAATTATTTGGTGTAAATTTTAATTTTTTTCCGCCATTTTTAAACGAGTTATGACGTTATCGAAATTTTTATTACGGAATATGAAAGACGATGTTTTTTTGAATCTAGTACAGTCAATATTAATATTGGTTATATCAGAAAATTTTCGAGAAAAAAAAGTTTAACTACTTCAAATTTGATGACATGTAAAAATAGCATTAGCCATGAGTAAACCAACTATTTTAAACAATTTTCAAAGTGTCAAAAAATGATTTAGTAACTAGTTGATCTATTTAATGCAACATTTCCTGATCGACTAAAACTTCTTAGCTCATTGCTTGGTAAGCTGTGACTAAATTTAAGCATGGATATCTTCGATATTTCTTAAAGTCTGAAAATCATGTCGGTTCTCGAATTCCGTTATCAGTTTTTCAAAATTAGGGTTCTCTATTTTTTTAAGAGCGATTTAATGGCATTACAAATTAAAGAGAAACAGAAATAAGCTATGCGGGGAGTGGAGGGTTCCGTCCAACCGGAACAGATGGTGCGTCCCAGACAGTATGTCGCGCCTTTATCTTACCTGCATAAAAAAATAAGGCGCGACGTCCCACAGTGGTCACTTTTGCCAATTTAAATGAACGAAAGTCAAATATCCGATTGGGCACTTTAAAGCTTTTTATTACATAAAAATAATCCTGAATCCTTGAAAGTATTAAATCTAACAATTAAAACATTTCAAGATCGAACGTGGAATAAGGAAACGCTGCAATAAAAATGATCGTACAAGGCTTGACGCACTTACGCGGTTGTCTGTCATATTTAGTTTTTTGATTGAATTCATGTTAAATAAAGCTCTTTTTTTTGTTCTCGCTATGAATCCTGTAAAAATAAGTAAGTAAGCAATTTATAGTGTACAAACAATAAGAGTTTGTTGAACATTAGTAAAGATTTATGGTTTAAAAATTACTTTTACAAATTACTATTTTTTAAATTTTGTGTTAAATTTGTTAAAGTAAAATATTACGAATTGGCGTGTATTGATCGAATTATTTATATAATGTTATCAAATAACTTATTAATAATTCGTTTACATTAAATTTAGTTGCAGCTTTTCGCAACTTTAGACTTTATTTACGTTTTTAGATTTGTCATACGGAGTACAACGAGAAACATTATTTTGCATTTGGCAGGATGAAACAAACGTGGATGAAAAAACTAAGGCAGTATTAAGTTTTTTGACGCAAAAAAGCGACTTTTTGGAATATGAGGAGGATTTTAAACATTTAATTAAGAAAACGATTGAAAACTTTTGCAGTCAATTAATGTTAAAATGGAAAAAATGCCATCGTATTAAAAAGATATTTATCTCAAAGAATGAGAAATGGCTCGGAGAGAAAATTGTTCTAAGGGACTTCCACCCAAAAAAACTCTATCACGGTCTGAAAGACCAGAAAAATCTTTTGGTAGTTGTCGTGATTCAGTCAAACGAAGAAAAATTCGTCCACTCCTGCAGACGGTTACGCAAGATGAACTGACTTACGCATCAAGAGTAAGTCTTGGGCGAACGGGAAAAAGAGATGCAGTTTATACAGTGCTAGCGTAAAGTAACCCCCCCCCCTGTTTAACTTCCGAACAAATTGAGATATGAACAAAAAAACGTCAGTTTCTATATTTTATCAGCACAAATATTTTCTTATGGAAAATTTTGCCATCACTTTTAGTTTTTCCGGAAAATAGATCAACTTTGTTTTTTTAAATGGAACACCCAGTATATTATGGTATCTTCCGAAAGATGAAACCAATACGAATCCAACGGTACCTCACAATCAAATATCGGTTTATTAGTTTTTCGCATAAAAATTAAACAAAATGCGGAATTTCGCCGGAAAAACCAACGTATCTTCGTCGACTACCTGTCGAAATGCAATCGGCCAGGTAAATGGTGGACGGTAGGTTAACGGTCGGTATACGCTCGAGCTAAGACGGATACAAAATTGCAAGTTCAATTACTTATTTTTTTTAGAAATGAAATAAAAGTTGTTTGGAAGTATATTAAATTTATGAATTAATCATATTTTATCAAAAAATATTTATAAAGAAAAAAAGTCAATATAAGAAATGAAATTTTCTTATTAAAGATTTTGCTAGTATAGGTAACGGTTGAAAAATTTGCTTAGTGTTGTTATTGAATAATAAAAGAATTTTTTATTTATTAAGAATCAAATATTAAGTAAATTGTTCGATATGATTACCTTGAACTTCTAGGCAGTGGTACCATCTTTGTAGTGTTTCCTCTCTCACACGGCTTAACATGTGATCAATATTTTGGCAGACGTCAATAATTTTTTGTTTTAAATCCTCAATACT